CTAGGCAAAAGGGCTGTGCCTGCCCTGCGTTCACGGCTTAGGGGAGCTGGCAGATTATTTTTTCCTGTTTGTTAATTTGTTCCCTCTCCAAAGCCAGGAGAATTGCTCAGGGTGCATGACAGGTCCTACTTCTAGCCCAGGGGGGCACAGAAATCACTGAAGCCGGCCCAGGACCTGGAGCAGAGTGGGCAGGGGGCAGGTAAATGGGAGAGAGGTACTTCCCAAAAAGGGGTGGGTGGTTTGATCTGCATGGTAGGTTAGACACTTTGTACTTATCTTTCGCCAATTGAGCGTCGTTTCTCACTGGTTCTGAAGGGTTGAGTAGACTCTCCACCAGCCGATCTCTCTCGATGTAGAAAACACGTCCCGAGCGCCACTGCTTGCCTCACCACTTGTGCACCAGCCAATCCAGCCTGCAGGGTGCTGGTGCCAACCAGGTCCGGTCTGGCAACTCCTTGCTGCTTCTGAACCATCTCTCCCTCACCCTGCTGCTCAGTCCAATTCCTCAACTTTGTCTTTGATGTTCAGGGCTCCTGGATTGTCATATATAAACAATTCACTAGTTTTTTTTTTTTTTGGTCTTTGTTGTAAGAGGGATCACAGGAAGCGTCTGACTGCTCTGCCATCTTGGCCTCACCTCCCCAGATTTTTGACCAATCCCCACCTCTCTAAATTTTTTAACTGTATGAAACATCTTGATTTACTGTTATTAATAATCTACATGTAGTGTCAAGTCTACAAACCAGGGGAATTTTCATAGCAGGATTTAATTTAATGGCTTAAACTACTAAGTGTCCTTTGAAATCAAATGTCATGCTAGAACAAAGGTTAATATCCCAAGTAATCGAACAACTCTTAGAAGTCAATATGAAAATTATATCGAATAGTTTTCAAAAATAGGCAAAGGCTAGGTATCTAAGAACAGGCAAGTCACAGAAGAACACAATCATCAATAATGTGGTCATTGATTGCATTTCTTAAACCCAGTCCTCTGATTTTGTTAAATTCTTTCAGTGTAAGCAAGTGGACCAAGTGTAGGTCTTGAGGTCTAATGGCTCTGAGTTTAAACCCAGTGCTGCCAATCACTAACTGTGTGACTTTGGATATGTTCTTTGAGTCTCAGTTTCCTTTCTCAGTTTCCTCATCTTAAAATGGGGATAACAATACCTCATTTATAGGATGTTGGAAGAATGTTTGTTGTTGTTAGTTGCTGTCGAATCAGTTCTGACTCATGGCGACCCCATGTGTACAGAGCAGAATTGTTCCACACGGTTTTCAAGGACTGTGACTTTTTAAAGCCTATCACCAGGCCTGTCTTTTAAAGCGCCTCTGGGTGGGTTCAAACCGCCAACCTTTTGGCTAGTAGTGGAGCTCTTAACCATTTTTGCCACCCAGGGACTCTGTTGGAAGAATTAGAAGTAGCATTTATTGAGCTATTACCAGGTATCAGAGACTACCCTAAGCATGCTACATAGATTAACCCATTTAATCCTCAAAACAGATGTCTATTTCTGATGCACAGAAAGGTTTAGTAACTTATCCAAGGTCATATTGCTGATAAGAGGTGGAGCCAGAACTTGAACCTAGCAGTTCAGAGAATTTGCTCTTAAACATTATGGTATGCTATTTCTCTAAATATATGCAGACTATCTAATGCAGTGTCTGATACAAAACGGGTACTGTACTTGATAAATGGTAGTAATTAATGATAATAAACAGAGCTTTCAAATTTTATGGGGAAAGAAAGACAAGTTCCATGGTACTCTTTCATCCAAACATGATTCAGATCAGTATCTAAAAACACTTGAGTTAAAAAATGTCCCTGTACTACATATGGGAAGAAATACTCTGGCTTGCAATAATTTTAGCAAGTCAAAGCAGAGGGAAGTGCAAAATATAGATTTCTCCTGGAACAAAATTGTAACAAGGAATTACAGTATTCCTCTACTTTAAAAGCACTTCTTTCTATTGTCTCTGGGGAGGGAGGCTAATGGCTGAAGAAGCATTACGGACATTGATGCCAATGTCCAGTGAAGAATATTTCCTCCTAAGTCCTGGCCATTGAAGCAAACCGAACCACCATTACTGCAAGTAGACGCCATTAGTATCCTACTAGAAGCTGCTTCTCCAAAAATGTAACACACTATATTCACATGGGAAATATTCAGGTCAAGTGGGGAAGCCCATATGGAGGCATGCAGAATGTGCTGGACAAATCCCACTCTTACCACCCCAAAGCAACTCCTATAACAAGGAACCTAGTCTCTATGCCTAAATTCTATTACCTAGCACTTAAAACTTTTAAAGTATTCACAACACCCAACACAAAACCCTCAGAAAATGCATGATGGGTGGATAGGTAGAAGAGTAAATAAAGAAGGAATAAACACACACCCATGAGCTTTAATCAACTACATCCTCTGCAGGGATTGACTGATAACTAGGAAGAGCAAAGTCCTTCAAAACTAAGAAAGAGGTAAGGTACCTAAGAACTGAGAGAACTAAAGGAATGCTGATGGAGGTTGTAAAAGGCTAAAGAGAAAATCAAGAACTGATGTGTTTATTGTTATCAAGATTAACTAAAACAATTGGCTCAAGTCAATCTCAGACACCAGTCTCCGTCAAGTTCAAAATCTAACAAGGGTGGAATATTCATTATCACTGCACAGGTTTAAATTTGTAAAGTTAGTCCTTCGGAGAAGCTTTCCTTCCTCCTAGGTTCCTCCTAGAATTCAGATAGTGCCATCAGGAAAATGGTTGCATCTGAATATACCTTGGTAGGATGACTGAGTCAGTCTCGAAGACATATACTTCAGCTCCTTTACATTTCTTTGAGGTGACAGCAATTATATTGACAAAAAATTAACAATTGCATCAGAAATTACTGATCTTTGGGGCTAGATTCTACCTGCTTAAGAATATAGACAATTTCAGAAAAGTTCATCTTAGCCCCCTCCTTTACTTTTTTGTCTGTAAAATGAGGATAATATCTACTTTAAATCACTTATATGGGAGTTAAATAGATTATAGCCTGGCATGTAGTAGTCATTCAGCCTACCCCTGCCTGTAAGTTCTTGGTTGTTGAAGCCCTGTGTAATATGTACCACCTCATAAGCACAAACACCTCCTCTGCCAAAGCAAATGGTTAGCTGGCATGGTATGCAGATCCTTTGCAAAGCTAGCTCTAACTTGGACTTTCGTAGAAGCTACTTGATTTGCACGAGAGCTTACTGCAGCCTACATATTTCCTGATGTTCACAAAGTATTCACCACTGCTTATTGAGAATCTGGGTTGAGTTGGTAAATAAATTATTTACTCTGAACCTACTTCTTAGACAGAAAGGCCTTCCAATCATATAAATAGCACTTGTTATGAGGCACTGTAGGGCCAGCCACAGGCAATTTGGAAAGATAAAATATTTATTTCTACCTTACAGAAACTGCTTATAACTTACACTTAAATTTATACTTAGAAAAAGTATAAATTTGCCTTCCCAGCACTTTTCCCCTCTGCCTACCCTCCATCTTCTTTATACACGAAGAGCCTTCTCCTCTATCTGGTGTTTCTCTTGTGCCTAGAGGCAGGTTTGTCCCAAACACAAGAGGAATTGACACTGCCAGGAATGCATATAGGCAAGAAAACACACAACTCAGTCTACAAAGATAAAACCTGGTTCTATTTTTCCATACCACCTGACTTTCTAACTTCTGAAGACTGAATGTATGTAAAGGCTATGTGTACACTATTTTCCCTTTCTTGATCTTTTAAATAGCAGAATAAGATTAGAATTTTTAAACCAGCATGTAGTGGTTTTCCAAAAAAAGAAAAAAAAAAAAAACCTCCTGATTGTACTAAACTACGCAGCATCTTTTCTCCATAGAGATTAAGGAATGACCATACTTTATGTGATCAAAGGGGAGAAAATGGCATTAACAAGGCAGAATCTTAAAAGACTCAAGTTATTTAAGCCACCTGGGAGTCAGATAGAACCTGCACACAATGTGTATGTTTTAGTGTAGGTGGTCTTTCTGTATGGAGCCCCGGTGGCGCAGTGGTTAAGAGCTCAGCTGCTAACCAAAAGGTCAGCAGTTCAAATCCACCAGCTGCTACCTGGAAACCCTACAGGGCGGTTATACTCTGTCCTATAGGGTCGTTATGAGTCTGAATCAACTTGACCGCAATGGGTTTGGTTTTGGTCTTTCTGTATAAAGTATGATTTGTTTGGCATGTAGCCAAACCCATTGCCTTTGAGTGGATTCTGACTCATAGCAAGCCTACAGGGCAGGGTAGAACTGCCCCATAGTGTTTCCAAGGTTGTAATCTTTACGGAAGTAGATTGCCACATCTTTCTCTCATGGAGTGGCTGATGGGTTCCAACCACCAATCTTTTGGTTAGCAGCTGAGTGCACTTAACCACTGTGCAATGAGGGCTCCTTTGGTATGTAGCAGGCACATGTAACTACATTCAACCATTCATAGATGCTGGCCTCCATTCAAATATTCTCTGAGTGTAGGACTACTTTTCTTCTCAGGGTATCAGTACTTAGACCTGATTACCCACCTCTTTCTATGCATAGGGACCTTTGGAAATAGTTTCTACCCTGACTGAGTGGAAACCAGAGTTGCTGCGTCACAGTTGCTGCATCACGTTTATTTCAGTATTTAGTTTCAGCTTATTTATAACTTTGAAAAATTTTGGGACCTTACTGGTGGTACCAGTTGCTGTCAAGTTGTTTCAAACTCCTGGCTACCCGAAATGGGTCAGAATAGAACTGGCCTCTATAGGGTTTTCAATGGCTGATTTTTCAGATTGCCAGGTCTTTCTTCCAAGGCACCTCTGGGTGGACTTGAACCTCCAACCTTTTCGTTAGCAGCTGAGTGTATTAACCACTCAAAACCCTGATTTTACAAATCACACAAAAACTAAAGGCCAAAAGGTAAGACTTATCCAGTCACATAACCATTCAAAATGCAAGATATTTTTCATTACTCTTCTTCTTTACAGAAATATTAATTCAAGTATGTTTTTGTAATAGGTATTATACACAGGGAAAGCATGTGGTGAAGAATGATGCCAGAATGAACTTTTACACTGATCCAAACTCAGTAAAGATCATGACATGCAACAATCCAGTGATGTATGGTAGAACCAAGCCCTTCTTTCAGTGGGTCCTTCAATTTAATTATCCCTCTCTTGGCACCATTTCCCCAAACTCAAACAAACAGGTATTTTTAAGTTCAAATATTTCAAATGTTTCTTAACAGCTATTTATTAAAGATGTAACTAACTCCAAGTTTCCTACTTCAAGACATACTGAGGTCTAAAGATAATTTAATATTTACTGAAAAATTATAATTGTGTAGGGTATTTATTTAGGTAGATTAGAATTTAAAATACTGCTATTTTAAAATTCCTATTCAACCAGCCAAAGAAAGGAAAAACATTATTATATAGCACAGGGACAGCTAGACACCATGAGTGGTCTTTAAGTATATTTTAAGTGACTGTATTTTCTAAACCAAAATAAGGCACATATTCTAAATAAGGGAATTTTCTGATTTTTTACTTCATCTATATGAAAAGTCTTAATAGAAAAATGTGGAAAAATTTGGAACCACAATAATTATACCTGTATATGATACACAAATGCATTTTCTTAAAGTAAAAATCAAAGCACAAAACCCTTCCTGAAAACTGGGGTCAATTTACAAGCAGCAGCTGATTGTTATGCCTTATAATGAGCAGCACGGGCACCTGAGAAGTTTCCTAAAAAGTTCGATAAAGGAAGACTTGTAGAAAGACAAGGATCAACTTTAACAAAACAAAGTTTTCATATTTTTTTAATGTGCAAAAATTGAAATGGGTCTACAAGTCACATAACTCGTACATCAAAATATGCTTTATTTTTGTGTTCCTATATAATTTTCCCAAAGTAGATTCAAAGTTTCTATGGAGAAACCAAACATGTATCCTTTTATATTTATATTACATACATGTAAATATTTACCTAATATTCCATACTTTTTTAAGTACATCTTTTAATTCCTTTAATGTACAACCAGAGCATTTCTGTCCAATCCTGTTCTTTGAAGATTCCCAAATTAAAGGAAGTTTGCTAACAAATCATTTTGTAAAGTGAAAAAAAGAGTGCAGCATTTTAAATTAAGGTTTTTGGTTTTTCTGACCAGAAATGAATGCCAGGGCCACTTCAAGAGACATGACAAGTGGTCCCAAAAAAAAACCAGATTGTTCCAAAAGTTCATTTATAAGCTGAAATGCATGTTTTAGATTATCAAACTAGTCTATAAAAAACCAGGAAATGTTTATCAGATGTCAAACTAGTCTATGAAAATCTAATTAATCAAGAATAACTAAATGGTAGATAAAATTTAGCAGAAAATACACTGATTCTCAAATAAAAACAAAAATAAGTACTTTAATATGAATGTTAAATACTGGTACTTTGGGAAATAAGTTTTGATCTAATTTCTCTAATTAAAGATGTATAAATTCTGAAGGAAAATTGTGAGTACTTTTAAAGTCTCTAGAATCTGGTAACATTGATTCACCTCAAATTTTCTTTGCTTTAAGCAGGCTATTTAATACCACTCTCCTGTATGAAGTAGGATTAAATGACAATGTTTAAAACACTTAGCCCATGTCTGGCACAAAGTAAGCTATATAAAAATTATTAGTAACTGGGCAGCAGTTTGAAGAAAAGGCAGCAAACAAAAGTTAAGAGGATGTGAGTACCTCCATGCAAAAAAGAATTACCTGAGACGGTTTTCCAATCTTCCTTTCTAGAATATCTAGATCTGAGGTCTGTGGAAGCCAGAATTGGGCAAAGGAGTCAAAAGTTTACCCCTTGATTTGGTTAGCCTTGCCTGGAGCAAAGGCTAACTAAGTCCACAATCTAGGTGGAAGTAACCTTGGGAAGCAAGAGACACGCCAGAAAGCAGATGGAGGACAAGAACTGAATCCTAAATGTTCTGATGGAGCCAAAACATTCCGGAAGCAAAGGCTGAAGCGTTTTACTAAGGAAATGAGAGGTAGAGGCACCATGGCTGCATGGACAGCCTTTTGCAGTGCCTCTCTGGCTAAGTCTGTGGGCAAGGCTGTTAAAAGCACTGAATCAGTGTGACAGTGTCAGCATAAGTAAGAAATAGGCAGAGAACGGCATGTGCTTGATCTTGCTAAACAAATAAGGGAAGATACATCATTCATTGGGTTAGTCCAGTGGTTCACAAACCTGAATGGACAGTAGAATCCCTTAGGCATTCCTTTAAAATGTAGAGTCCTAGGCCCCATCCTTAAAGATTCTGATTGCATTGGTCTGAATTCTTTTAAATCATCTCAGATGATTATAATGTTCAGCCAAATTTGAGATTTACCAATTTACAGTTCAGTTCAATAGATTAACCTTTGAAGTACATCTTAATTACAGAGTATTTTCCATTTATACTATCTCACAAAGTAATTAACATTGTGAAGGTGGTGGTTTAGAAAAAATACACACATAAAATATACAACCACATCCTTTTTCACACAATAAATAATAAATGTAAACATTTGAAAACATTTCTAAAAACCAAAGTAAAATCCAAAGTAAATGACCGCTTCTTCAAATCTAAAAAGTAAAGGGTTCTTGGAAAAAAATGAAATAAAATAGATAACTGTGCTTTCAGATTTTAAAATCTGAAATTTAGAGATTACATCTGATATTGCTACTATAAAGAAAACAAGACGCTGTATTTTTTTTTATTTAAGACATTTCAGTCTTTTCATAATTGAAATAATTGCATGATCGGTTAAATATTGTCAGCATTACTGTCCAAAACATTCCATTTAATGTTTTTTAATGTACTCACACACCTGAGTATTCTGAATTATAGAAACAAATCCATTAGCAGTCTAAACCTCACCAACATTTATATTATGCTTCTTCAATAGCATCTAAAATGAACCACTAGCAAAACAGGTTACAAGATTATTTAGATATTATGATGAGTTAGTCTGCTGAAATGTAGTATTCATAGAAGGAATTTAATTTTTTAAATTACTTTTTAACAAATGAAAATTCTACATTGTGCCAATCTGCTCTTGCATTTTAGAAAATGCTATTAAGGCTTTATTTTAAGGGATTACAAAAAAAGACATCCTATTGTGCACCATGGATAATGCAGAAAACAATGGTTTACAAATAACTGCTGAGGAACTAAGGGAATCATGGTTTTCCTTTCATTACGGACTTTCCAAAATCAAAGATGTTTTACAGATTAAAGTTAGATTAAAAGTTAACAGAAAATTATATCCTTAGTTTAAGATTTCCGCTTCCTTAGATTTAAAAAGGAAAAGAGTAGTTGATTATAACTATAGTCTAAAGAAAACACTGCTTTGAAGGAAAGTCTTGATTCATTGTGTCATTCTTATAGCCTTTTCTTTGCTTGCTTACTACAAAATAATCCATTGTTACTGTGAGGACAGTTTCTCATTCAGTTCCAGTGCTCTTGTATCTCCATGAGTTTTGGCATTGTTTACTAGCACCTGTAGGAAATCACACACAGAAACATTATTATTTTGTTTCTTAACAATCTCTCTCCATTTACTTTCACAGAAGCCATTCCTAGGTTGGCAGTCGTGAAAAGGCATATCAAACTATGACTAAGTACAATCTTTCAGTCAATTTTGCTGAAATCAATTGTTCAACCAAAGCTACTGCCAGAGAGCAGCACAATTTATTCAAATGTTGAATTAGTATAGATGCCAATGTGTTGGTTGTTACCACTGTCAGCAATGTTTAAACTTAAAGGTTTTGTTTGGTGGCTTTGTTTACAATATTGTCAACTCTAAACCCTTACCCAAAATGATCATTTTATACATAGAACTGCCCGAATGACTTTGCCCTCCTTTAAAACTGCAACTCAGATCTAGGTCCTATTTCTAGGCTTTATCAAAAATCTTTCTAGGATTTCTACCAATTCCATAAACTAAAAGATTCACTGTCACCTGTTCATTCAATTACTAAGATAGTTTTTGGTCATTTATTGTCAAGAACTGTGACGTGTCTGAGATTTTACTCTATGTGCAAGCTAACAAGTTAGCCTGTCACAGTTCCATGGATCCTGTCACATGACATGGGACTCCTGGGTCAGAGACAAAGGACTTTATTCCTCATGGTACAGCAAGCAGCATGAGCATCAGCATATTTGCATCAGTTCCCCCTTGTATTTGAAGTCTCTCACAACAGTGACATCAGCCCATATGGTTGCTGACACATGCAGGAAGCTGCATTACAAGAGAGGAATTCTGAGCCTACGAGTTTTGAATCTTTTATAATGAATAATAAGCATGTCTACCCTTGGTTCGGTGGGCGGGGGGCACTATAGCTCCCAAGGCTGTTCACCATACAAACACCCTTGAAAAGACAGTCTGGAACAAAGAGCAGTCAGGCCCTTTGCTCACAAGATGTTTAGAAATTCAAGAAAGCCATGGAGAATTGTCTCTCAACATTCATATAAGTTGTATCTGTTTGGTTTGAAATATGTTCATTATAATGCCTTTTTCCAGGCATTGTTTTAATATATTTTTTAATATTGTATGTTTTACTGAAGGAAGGGAAAAGAGTATTTCAAATGTGGTAGCTTTTAAAAAAAGCTTTTCGTTTTCATTGTATTTTTAAAATTGTTGGCTACAGTTATAAGATCTTAACTCAATATATTTTTATAGTACTTTGTTTTTTTATTTGTGCTTTAGGTGAAAGTTTACAGCTCAAGTTAGTTTCTCATACAAAAATTTATACACACGTTGTTATGTGACCCTAGTTGCTATCCCTATAATGTGACAGCACACTCCCCCTTTCCACCTCCGATTTCCTGTGTCCATTACAGTACTTTATTTTTTCAAAAGAATTTTAGATGCATATCTCATTTAATTCTCAGATCCATCCATGAGAAGTAGAGTAGAACTGGTCACACGCATTTTATAGAAAAGGCAAGGAAGAAGTAAAATAATTTTTTCAAAGATAATATAATAAAAGTCACTTTATAGTGAACCCCTGGCTGGGTATTTCCCTCTTATGTATCCAGATTTCTACCAATGAACATCCCATTAGATTTTGCTACCTCTTAACCTCATCCTATCTATTTGCCTGCACTGCAATGGCTATTAAAAATACCACAGCCAGGACCTAGCACCTTTATCTATTTTCTAATTCTACATATCACATAGTAAGCACGTATTATCTACAGGTTATCACTGGTTAGTTGTTCTCAACCCGGGCAATTACACTCCAGGGATCACTTGGCAACGTCTAGAGAGAGAAAAAGTTGATTCTTGGTTACTACCTCAGGTTGAGTGTAGATGGTTGTACGTTTGTACTGCTATAACTTCTAATAGAAAAGGGCTTCAGACCAGTAGTTCTCAACTTTTTATAAACCTTAGTACATCTGATGGCTGACTTTTAAATTTGTCATGTTCACACTGCATGCTTCACAGATACGACACCACGAATTAGGCAACCCCCTTGTAATTCTACCCTTCTCTCTCACTTAAGAAAGCTTAAAAAGTGCATTGATAGAGAGGTATGTAAGGAATGAATCTGCTCTATTTTATTACAGGAAAAGACACGCACAACCATTTGCCACCTATGGTTAGTATGCAATACTTACAACATACTTCACAACTGATCATGAATCTTGATCAAGGTTCTAAACCACCACCCTAGACCCTCAGTAGTTGTTATTAGTTTCTGGCTTTAAAATGGTTATGCTCTTAAAAAAAAAAAAAAAAAAATGAGTGTAGCTTCCCCCAAAAAAGGAATCTTGCATATGTAGAGGCTGAATCTACATTAAATTATTTTTAAACATAGCCTTAACAGTCTTGTTTACTTATGCCAAGGAGCCCCAACTTGTGTTCTATTCCAATATCCAAATGAGGATTTCATAATTAACTCATGGTACGATAAAAACTATATATATTTAACCTCTAAGTCATGTGCATAATAAATGTTTCTCTACTTTCAATAGGTGCAACAGTAGACATTGTAGTTGGCCAAAAAAGACACATGTTCATTTTTTTTAAAATCCAATTATAAAGTGGATAATTTTGAAAAATAGCTCTAAAACCCTTATGTCTGAATGAAATATTTTAAATAACCAATGCCTTACATCAATTAGCTCATAGTCATCTTTGGCATATAAGTGTCTCAATAGGTACCAACGAGCAGTTGACACAACAGATTTGGGATACCCGGGTTGATATACTACTCTCTCCAAAAGTCGCCGTGTCTCCCTGTGGAAAAGATATTTATATTTAGTCCAAAGCATATAAATTAATATGTTTCATATACTAGTATCACACACATTGCATAATTCTTTCTTTTATTTTTATAGATATGATATCATATTACTTCACGGATTTATTCAGATAACTAAAATGGTAATAATAATGGTTAACATTAAGTGCTCACTATGTGCTAGGTATTATGCTAAATGTTCTACACATATGGTCATATTTAATATTCATAACCTTATAAGGTACATCACTATTGTTATTCCCTTTTTGCAGATAAGTAAATTAAGGCTCCTTTCAAATAGAATGGGGAAAAGGCTCTTCTTTTATAAGCACTTCTCAGTGTCCACTTGTAATCATTTTGGAAAAGAAAATAGGCAGAAAATACATAAATCAATAAATAATACAAAGGTGATATAGAATGGGACAAGAAGAAATAAGTTTAACACCTACACTAGAGGTTCAGTGTATAATACTAGGCTTTTAGTGTACGTTTTCAAGGATATGTACAGTATATTTACCTATGTAATAAAAGGCTGACTTATAGCTGTGTTCTAGTTTTTTCCTTCCTAATTTACTAACATCTATGACTCCAATAACTTCTGTACTGGTAGGAACAACGTAAATATTGGTAACTTCAAAACTACTAAATAGGAGAGTCTTACAGGTAGCAATTGGTTTGAAGCAGGAGCTAAAGCACTCACCTTCAAGATGTTTTAGCACAGGAATCATAGAAAGCACACTTTTTCCTTAGACTATATGTTTATTTGGGCTGGTTTTGGGGGTGATAGCCATTGTGGCAGAGAGAGATTAAGGGAGGGTGTCGCTAAAGCCCCACTGAGCATCAGCAGAAAGAGTCTGTTAGGAAGTTTAAAGCATAGCCTAAAACATTTCTTGGTAAAATTAGTCACAGGAAAAAAAATTTTAAAAAAAAAGGCTAAAAATAAATTTGAATGGGATTGCTGGTTAGCCATAGTGTCTTATTCTTCCTCATTCCTATTTTGTGACATGTCCTTTGCCACATATTCACATGCATTAAGCTCTATTTCTGGAGCCCTGGTGGCACAATGGTTAAGAGTTCAGCTGCTAACCAAAAAAGGTCAGCAGTTCGAATCCACCAGCCGCTCCTTGGAAGCCCTATGGGGCAGTTCTACTCTGTTCTATAGGGTCACTATAAGTCAGAATTGACTCGACAGCAATAGGCTTGGGCAAGCTCTATTTCTATAATACCTATTCTGTTCCAGTAATATTTACTCCTAAACCACTGTTTTACTTATGGCTGCTTTGAATTATACTTATATCTATTAGAACTAGATACTGCTTTCAGAATTTTAAATATTCTTCCCTGTTTATTCATCCATATGATCTTTAAGTCATTTTCTTTAAATTTATTCCTACCCCATGCTCATTCTCTAATAAAAATATTCGTAGAATTTTTATATTTTAATCTGAAAACCTTTTGGATTTTCTAGTTGTAAAATCATATTATTTACAAACGATACATCTCTGCCTCTTCAATATTTATTACATTTTCATAGCTATTACATTAGCAAGGACTTAATGTAGTCCAGAACTTCAGTGTTTTTGGTTGTGTTTCTTTGTTTCTAGAAGCCACAACACACTGTTGGCTCATCCTAACTCTGTGGAGAGCAAAAACTCCAAGGTCTCTTCACTTGAAATGCTGTCAAGCCAAATCGCTCTCTTATCCTATGTACCTAGCTATTTTTTTAAACAAATGTGACTTCATTTTCTCCCTTATTGGGTTATTAGAAACAGTTTTTACAAAGTTATATATGAATAATCTCAAAGTTTTTTAAACTAACTACAAATCTTCCTTTGAATTTTTTTTTTTTTTTTTTCCTAAAAGGGCTGAGAGGGAAAAAAACATTTCTAAGAAAAAAACTGAACAAAGATTCTTCATACCTTGCCCCCATTTTGCGGTTGAATTGTAACAAAGCTTGTACGAGAATAGCCAGTGGACAAAAGCAAAGCTTCAAGGCCTCAGTTGTAGCTTCTTGAACCAAGGATTGCCAGTGATCATTGGAAATATTAGCCTGTAAAAATTTAAGACAAATATTAAATCAAAGCTTTTGACACGTTTACTTTAAAAAACAAAAAAAACCACACCAGTTGTTGTCAAGTCAATTCCAACTCATAGTGACCCTATAGGACAGAGCAGAACTGCCCTACAGGGTTTCCAAGGAGCAGCTGGTGGATCTGAATTGCCAATCTTTTGGTTAGCAGTTGAACTCTTAACCACTGCGCCACCAGAGCTCCAATGTTTACTTTAGGAGTATGCAATTCAACTGTCATTACTGAGCATCTACCTGCACAAGTCACCGTGTGAATGCTTCAGAGAGTATAATTACTAAAAAATGATTAAGACCTAACGGCTTCCCTTAAGGAACTACAAAACAGGGCAGACTGGGATAAAGGAAAGTTTCAAAGAGGAAATATTATTTTAAAAACACTAAAATATTTGTTAAAAGAAAATAATCTATCATTTAGTAAGCCTTTGGTCTACCAAATACACAAAACCAAATTTACCATGACTAATTATAAAGTTCTACATTTCAGAAACTAGCTAAGGAAAGGAGAAAGACTGAAAATAAAATTTTTTAATGAAATCCCAATAGAGAAAAAAAGTGCAAAACAGACAAGAGATAAAGAAATTAAATCAAAGTTTGGCAACACTCATTCCTAACTCTAACAAACTCTGGGAGTGCTGCCGGTCCCATGCTACAGCAACTCCCCTTCACTTGCTCCATCCTGTACCTCAGGCAGAGATGCCTACCCACCTTTGGGAGTCACCTATGCTGGCCACTCTCTCCTAGCAGCATGTAGTCACTCTCTTTTTCTTTGTTCCAGCACCACAGACTGAGAGCCACAGCTTCTGCGGCATGTATCAGATACCTTGTCCATATGCTTCTAGGTATGTGACTGCAGGATCTCAGACGACACACATCAAAGCCTCCATCTCTCACCTTTGTGTGTGTCTGTGTGGGGAAACGTGTGGTGGGGATGGGGGTAGGAGCTACTCACAACAAGGCCAACAGTGCTGTCCAAAGAAATTTCTTCACAAAATCCTCCTCTAACTCCACTTTTCTGCTGCTTTTATAGCTTCTTATAGGTTAGTCCTCTGCCCACTTCAAAAATCTGAACCTTGATCTGACTGTCTCATCTGGAATCTGAAATCTTAGCCAAACATTTCAGCTTAACATGTTCATATGCCATCACATATGAACAAACATATAGTAGCCTCTCCTAAAAGTCTCGTCTTAATATATCCATCCTCCTCACACTGCCAGCTATTTACCATAGGAATGCAACATCTTTTTATTCCTTTATAATAATCATTGGATAATCTTATAACAAGAGAAAATTATATTTGGATAGTGCTTTGAAATTTACATAGGTACTTGAAAATTGTACTTCATTTGATATTTCCACAAGAAGGCAAGATAGGTATTATCATTTCCACTATTATAAAAAAAGGAAAAGGGCTCTAAGTTTAATTGGCTCAAGGTTTCACAGGGAGTAAATGGCAGAACCAGAACCAAAGCTTTTAGGGGAAATACTTTATGGTGGTAATGGGCTGGGGGTGGGGGGTGGGGGGTGTTTATGGGTATTACTGAAATGCTAGCTCTGCAAAGGCAGAGATTTTTATTTGGTTTGCTCACTGCCATATCCTCAGTGCTTAAAGTGGTGCCTGCAACAAAGTAGGTGCTCAACAGATGAATGAAAGAATAAATGAGTGAATGGCTGAACTATGGATGCCTTAGATCTTTACAGAAGTAAATAAAAAAGAAATGATTCTCTTGGCTTCAGATCACCAAATATTTACTCTTTGCCTCCTGCGAACAAGGCATATGCTGAGTGCTGCTGTTGTTAGGTACTGTTGAGTCTGTTTTCGAATCATAGTAACCCTATGAGACAGTAAAACTGGCCCATAGGGTTTTCTAGGTTGTAATCTTTACAGGAGCACATGGCCAGATCTTTCTCCTGCAGAGTCGCTGAGTGGGTTCAAACCGCTAACCTTTCAGTTAGCAGCCAAGCTCTTAACCACCAGCGCTACTAAATGATACATTTTTTGTCTTCAAAGGGCTCACGTTTAGTGGGAGAGAACATGTACTTAACACAATAGACTTTGTGAAAGAGAGGGCATCTGAGCTGCCATCAGTGGGTAGACCAAAGGCAGGAGAGAAGAGAAGCGGGAGATATTTTAGATACGAGAGATGTGAGAAAAGACACAGAAGCTGTAAGTAGAGGCGCTTATTCCAAGAGCAGCAAGTAGTCTAGCATGACTGTTATCCAGGGTGAACAGAACCACATGACAGAAAACCAGGCTGGAAAAACGGAAGAAAAGCGATCTGTAAAGGGATAGGAATGCCAAATTAAGGAGTTTCAATTTTATTCCACATGCAATGAAAAACTATTTAATACGTTTTAACAGTGAAAAGACTTGAACAGACCTAAGTTTTAGGAAGATAATGTATCAAGTTTTTAACATGTTTTGGAGAAGGAAGAGAATAGAGATCTTTAAACAAGATTCACACAACTCTTTAAAATTAGTCCTTATCTCTTGCCTTGAATAAACCCATTTTTAAAAGTTCGAAACCAACAAGCAAACAACAAAAAACCCACTTTCTTATGATTTTAATATAGTGAATAAAAGCATTGACTGTGGAGCCAGCCTGCCTGGGTTCAAATCCATGCTGTTATTTCCTAGCTGTGTGACCTTGGACAATTTATTTTATCCTTCTGTGCCTTAATTTCCTTAACTGTAAAATAAGGTTATTGTGACTATTAAATAAATATGTATAAATCACTTACAACAATGCATAGCACAAATCACAACAGTGCATAGCACAAACTAAGTGCTGTGTGTATGTTTGCTATTATTTATGTGTTTTATTCCAGGTCATATTTAATATCCCAGCATTAAAAACAAAACAAACAACAACAAAAAACACACTACCAAATAATATTTATTAACTAACAAACTAACAAGTAATAAGTTAGGCTAAAAGGGTGTCTACTTCTCCAGTTCAAATATTTAAGAGCATGCTACTGGTACTGTGGCTTCCACAGCTCATCAGTTACCAAGTCATAAAGACCTCTGTTAAACATAAATAGGGGACAAACAAAATAAAATGTTTGGTGATGTACAATTACTCTCAACCACTACTTCTTTCCATCCCAGTCACCTCAAATTTGACCACCATTATTATTTGTCCATTTATTCAAAAACCACTTATTGAGGACCTCCTATATACAAGCCAGGGTGGTAAAGCAAGGATGAAAGGGTAAACAAAATACGGTCCCTTCTCTAAGGAGCTCTTAAATATACTCTGTAGCAATGGCACTAATGCCGAAAAAATTGCCTAATTCCTGTATATCTTTGTCAAAATGCCTAGTTAATGTGAATAAATCACATCTGCAATGGGTTACTGTGGCAAAAGCAAGAGATAATTCAGGTCTGTCTGGGAAAATTTCTTCTAATCATGCAAATCAGGAAGAACAAGACATTATCTTTTAATTAAAGAAGTAATATACATATGATCAAATAATTTAAACACAATCAATAGATAGAAAATGAAATATTCTCCTCCACTATTCCTTAAAACCTCAGTTCCATTCTCCACAGTAACTGTCATTAAGTTTCGTTTATATCTTTCCACAGCATTGTGTCTTTCTATGCGCCCAAAAGAGCACAGGCATGCGCGCACGCACACACACACGTGCAGGGTATGTTTAAAGAGACGTATATTCTTAAAAATATACACCAAATACACATATAGTCAAATGAGATTATATCATACAAGTGATGTAATCTGAAGCTCCCACCCCTAGTTACATATTTATCTTGAAGAGTTTCTCATACCAGCACATAAGGCTTTTAGATTAATATCTCCAAATTGGTGTCAGAGAGCAGGATGTCAAGTTATAAATTAGTCACTCTTTTCACAGAATGTCAAATTGACTTCAGAAATGATTGAAATGTTAATTATATGTATCTTTGGGTTAATTCCAACTTAGATTACCAAGAAACAAGAATGCATATTGTCATAGTTCATCTTTTAAAACTGCAACATTTGTTTTTTTCCCCAAACATTTACAACATTCTGCTGTGGTTTATGGGTTTGTTACTCTATGTTCATCAAGGGCCCAAAATACAGTCTACGAGGAGGCCAGACTAGAAGACAATGAAACAACAGGAACTTAGTAGGATATCACTATGAGAAAAAGCTTTCATCCTGAAGAAAAAGAATCATCTTTTTCATTAACATAATTATGTTATCTTACCATGAAGATTTCTAATGCAAGCAGTGCTAGTCTCAATAGACTTGAGAGCTTCCCACTCCAACTGCCCTGCTGGGAAGCCACTTGTAGGCTCTTTCTGTAACACATCTCTGCAGCACCCATCATTCCTTGAGACTGATACACGTGTGCCAGCCACTAAGGAACAGAAATGGAGAAAAAACCAAAATAGTTTAGTACAGTCTGGTAACCCACTTCCAACAAATTCAATAAATTTTGATGAAGTTGTAATTTTTATTTAATCATTATTAGGTTTTGTGCTGAAAAACAAAAATGACAGGTAAAAAGGGAGCCCTGGTGGCACAGTGGTTAAGAGCTCGGTTGCTAACCAAAAGGTCGCCAGTTTAAATCCATCAGCCACTCCTTGGAAACCCTATGGGGCAGTTCTACTCTGTCCTATAACGTAGCTATGAGTCGGAATCAACTCGACGGCAATGGGTTTGGTTTGGTTTTATTCTGTTTGTAACAGCTTACTTGTCTGAAGTCTTAAAAAAGTCTTTCAAGATGGAAAGTCAGGAACAAAATCAAAATGCAATATGAAAATAGATACATGATATAAACACAAGCCAAAAGAAAGCTTGTGTAGCTGTATTAATACCAGATAAAGCAGACTTTAAGACAAGAAGTATTAAGAGAATGGACCATGTCAACCACAGCCTACATGACCTGTACACAAGACCCGAAGAACTACATGGTGCCTGAATACCACTACCGACCACTCTGACTGCGATCACAACACAGTGTCCTAGACAGAGCAGGAGAAAAATTATAGAGCAAAAAACCAAATTCACAAAAAAGACCAGACTTCTGGTCTGACAGAGACTGGAGGAACCCCCTAGACTAATGCCCTAAGACCCTCTTCTGAACTGCAACTGAAGCCATTCCCAGAGACCATCTTTCAGCCAAACCCATAAAATAAACAGTAACACCTGAGAGGAATGTGCTCCTTAGAATAATCAATTATGGGAGATCAAAAGGGCAACATTTGTCCTAAAGCAAAGATGAGAAGGCAGGAAGGGACAGAAAATCAGGATGAAGGGAAACGGAATCTAGGACGGAAATGGGAAGAGTGCTAATACATTGTGGGAAACGAAACCAATATTATGGAACACTTTACGTACAAATTATTGAACTGGAAACTAATTTGCTCTGTAAACTTTCACCCAATGCACAATAAAAATTTAAAAAAAAGAAGTATTGAGAGATAAAGTGGGACATTTCCAAATGATTCAATAAGAAGATAGAACACTCCTACATTTGTGTGCATCTAATAACACAACTTCAAAATTTATAAAACAAAAGTTAACAGATATGAAAGGAGAAATAGACAAATCCAGAATCACAGTTGGAGATTTTAACATACTTACCTCAACAAATGATAAAATAGACAAAAACAATCAGTAAGGAAATAAAAAATTTAAACGTAATTAAGCAGCTTGACTTCAATGACGTATTTAGAAGACTACACCCAGTAACTGGAGAATACACATTCTTTGCAAGTGTTTATGAAACATTTAACAAATCTGACCATATGCCAGGACATAAAGCAGATTTTAACAAATTTCAAAGGCTGAAATCATATGAAGTATGTTCTCATTAAGTGAAATTAAACTAGAAATCAGTGACAGAAAGATGACTAGAAAATTCACACCAATATTTGGAAATTCTGCAACATTCTTCAGGGGAAAAAAAAAGGATCAAAGAAGAAATATCAACAGAAATTAGAAAATATCTTGACGTAAGTAACAATAAAATAACTATATAACAACTTATGGGCTGCATATGCTAGAGAAAGACCGAAAATCTACTATTTAGGTTTCTATCTATCTCAAAGTGGGAGGGGGAAAAAACACTAAATTAAACCCAAAGAAAAAAGAGCAGAGAAAAAAAAAAAAATAACATGTAAAGAAAAAAAGGGGAATAAAGAAAATCAACAAAGCAAAAAATTGGTTCTTTGAAAGATTAATGAAATTGCTAGTTATCCAGAAAAAGGTAAGAAAAAGCAATTACCAATATAAGGCTAAAAAAGAGAAAATCACTACAGATCTTTTTGCTGTTGTTGTTACGTGCCATCGAGCCGGTTCCAACTCATAGCAACTATATACAATAGAAGAAAAACTGCCCGGTCCTGTGCCATCCTCACAATCATTACTATGTTGGAGACCACTGTGGCAGTCACTAGGTCAATCCATCTCACTGAAGGCCTTCATCCCTTTTGCTGACCCTCTACTTTACCAAGCATGATGTCCTTCTCCAGGGACTGGTCCCTCCTGATAACATGTCCAAAGTATATGAGACGAAGTCTCGCCATCCTTGTTTCTAAGGAGCATTCTGGCTGTACTGCTTCCAAGACGGATTTGTTCGTTCTTCCGGCTGTCCATGGTATATTCAATATTCTTTGCCAACATCATAATTCAAAGGCATCAATTCTTCTTTGGTCTTCCTTATTCACTGTCCAGCTTTCACACACTTATGTTGTTGTTGTTAGATTCTGTCAAGTCGGTTCCAACTCTTAGAGACCCTATGTACAATAGAATGAAACACCACCCACGCATGCATATGAAGCAAATGAAAATACTATGGCTTGGGTCAGGTGCACCTTAGTCCTCAAAGTGACATCTTTGCTTTTTAACACTTTAAAGAGGTCTTTTGCAGCAGATTTGCCCAATGCAAAAAGTTGATTTCTTGACTGCTACTTCCACGGGCATTGATTATGGATCCAAGTAAAATGAAATCCTTGACAGCTTCAATCTTTTCTCCATTTATCGTGATGTTGCTTATTGGTCCAGTTGTGAGGATTTTTGTTTTCTTTATGTTGAGGTGTAATCCATACTGAAGGCTGTTGTCTTTGATCTTTGTCAGTAAGTACTTCAAGTCCTCCTCACTTTCAGCAAGCAAGGTTGTGTCATCTGCATATCGCAGGTCGTTAATGAGTCTTCCTGCAATCCTGATGTCCCGTTCGTCTTCATATAGTCCAACTTCTCAGATTATTTGCTCAGCATACAGACTGAAAAAATATACTGAGAGGATACAACCCTGACACACACCTTCACTGACTTTAAATAAAGCAGTATTTCCTTGTTCTGTTTGAACAAGTACCTCTTGGTCTATGTACAGGTTCCTCATGAGCATAATTAAGTGTTCTGGAATTCTCATTCTTCTTGATGTTATCCATGATCTGTTATGATCCACACAGTTGAATGCCTTTGCATAGTCAATAAAGCACAAGTAAACATCTTTCTCATATTCTCTGCCTTCAGCCAAGATCCATCTGACATCAGCAATGATATCTCTCATTCCAGGTCCTCTTCTGAATCTGGCTTGAATTTCTGGCAGTTCCCTGTCAATGTACTGCTACAACTGTTTTTGAATTATCTTCAGTAAAATTTACTTGTGTGTGATATTAATGATACTCTTTGATAATTTCCACAGTCTGTTGGATGACTTTTCTTTGGAAGGACACAAATATGTAGCTCTTCCAATCAGTTGGCTAAGTGGCTATCTTCTAAATTTCTTGGCACAGATAAGTGAGTGCTTCCAGCATTGCACCCATTTGTTGAAACATCTCAATTGGTATTCCATCAATTCCTAGAGTCTTGTTTTTCGTCAATGCCTTCAGTGCAGCTTGGACTTCTTCCTTCAATACCATCGCTTCCTGATCATATGCTGCCTCCTGAAATAGCTGAATGTTGACCAATTCTTTTTGGTACAGGGACTCTGTGTATTCCTTCCATCTTCTTTGGATGCTTCCTGTGTTGTTCAGTATATTGCCCATAGAATCCTTCACTATTGCAACTCAAGGCTTGAATTTTTTCTTCAGTTCTCTCAGCTTGAGAAATACAAAGCACATTTTTCCCTTTTGGTTTTCTAACTCCAGATGTTTGCACATTTCATTATAACACTTTACTTTGTCTTCTTAATCCGCCCTTTGAAATCTTCTGTTCAGCTCTTTTCTTCATCACTTCTTCCATTCGCTCTAGCTGCTCTATGTTCAAGAGTAAGTTTTCTTGCAGGCATATGGATATTATCCTATCACTGACAGCGCTGTACTTCAGGACAGATCCTGAAATGTTCTTTTTGATAATGAATGCAACACCATTCCTCAATCTGTCATTCCTGGCATAGCAGACCATATGATTGTCCAATTCAAAATGGCCAATACTAGTCCATTTCAGCTCACAAATGCCTAGGATATTGATGTTTATGTGTTCCATTTCATTTTTGATGACTTTCAATTTTCCTAGATTCATACTTCATACATTCCACATTCTAATTATTAATGGATGTCTGAAGCTGTTTCTTCTCATTTTGAGTTGTGTCACATCAGCAAACTAAGGTCCCAAAACCTTGACTCCATCCACGTCATTACGGTCAACTCTACTTTGAGAAGGCAGCTCTACCCTAGTCATATTTTAAGTGCCTTTCAACTTGGGGAGCTCATCTTCCAGCACTATATCTGACAATGTTCATAAGATTTTCACTGGCCAAATTTTTTTAGAAGTAGATCACCAGGTTCTTCTTCCTAGTCTGTCTTAGTCTGGAAGCTCTGCTGAAACCTGTCCACCATGGGTGACCCTACTGGTATTTGAAATAGCAACACACAAGCCACCACAGTACGACAAACTGAGAGACAATTACAGATCTTACACACATTATAAAGAGGGTATCATGAACAGCCTGATGCCAGTATATTTGAAATTTAAGTGCACTGGACAAATTCCTTGCAACTCACCAATGATAAAGACGTAGGAAATCTTAACAGTCTCACGGCTATTAAAGAAATTTAATTTGTAATTTAAAACTTTTTTATAAAGAATATTGCTGGCCTGAATGAATGGCTTCAACAGTGAATTTTTCCAAACATTTAAAAAATAAATAACGCCACTTTTATACAAACTTTTCCAGAGAATAAAGGAAAAGGAAGAGCAGCATAGATATCAAATCTAACAGGGACCTTATGATAATGAAAAATTACAGGCCAATTCTGCCACAAATTCAGATGCAAAAATTCTAAATAAATTGAATTCAGCAATATATAGAAAGGATAATACATCATGACCAAGTAAGGTTTATTCAAAAAATGCAAGGATTGTTAATGTTTGAAAATCAATGTACTCCACCACATTAAGAGAATAAAA